CTGCGGCTAGTTTGCGAAGCAATGCAGAGTGCAGCTGCGTGGATGGATGGATAATTTTCGAGGGATTCATTCTATGGCATTTTTGGGAAAATTATGGACCCACTGACCGAAACAGGGCTTCAAGTGGCGCATTGCTACTTGATGTTTTCTCCGTGAATCCATTTATTTCTCATGTAGTACTTTCATGTTAGGCGGTGAGTAGGCCTTTTCTCTGCAGCGTGTCATCTGCATTCAGGCATCGTGCTGCTGCTTTAAGTCGACACACAAGTGTCTTATTAATGTGCCTCATTCATTGTAGATTAGGATGCTGTTCAGAGTATTGGATGTCGTCTTGAAAATTGTGAAGTCTCGGCGCAGGAAGCACAACTCGTCGCCTTCACCACTTCATCCAAGACTATGCTGGGAGAGACGTGCTAACACGACTACCATCGTCACCGCGCTGCCTGTGAAAGACGCAGTGCGTAAGCAAACGCCCGCGTGCCTTCCGTGTGAATGTGTGTGTTTGGGGATGGAAATCACGCTTTTATGATCACGTGACACTCGCTCGAAACTGAGGCAGATTTAGTCGCGTTGTCTATCTGGATAATTAGTGATTTTGACTGTTGTGGAAGTGTTCGTGGCTTTAGTGTCGGACGGTACACTTATCGTTCACCATAGCGCCATTACCGCACCCTAACTCGTTTCACTGCTGCCTCTGACGTTTTGCCTTGAACCACATCGCTTCCTCGCATCCAAGCAAGTTGAGAAGACCGGAACGGCACCTAAGGTGTGTCTTCTTGTTGCTAATGCTGCAAATGTTGTACAAACTGAAGTTCTAACATAATTACAAGAAGTGGGCCCTGAGCACCTTGCTTTGCATCCAAAGTGGCTTTGAAACTACAGGTTATCAGACTGCCTTCAAACAGGAATTCACTTCATTGAACCAGACTAACGGCGGCTGGTTACACAGATGGGCGGTCATTAGGCAGGACTTAGAACCATAACATTACCCACGAGGGTGTCACGATTCAGTAGCCTGTGACCGTCCCGGATAATCGTCCAGACCAGCCACCATGACGACCAACAGATGCACGCGTATGAATGTTCCGTGTTTAAGATAATTTACATAACGACGCACGTAGTAGGGAAGAGTCTAACCAGAAATGTTCGAAAATAACATCTCCCGGTCTTCGAAATTAATCCAAGAAAATCATTTGCGTAATTCCCCCTTTACGTTAACAAGACTAAGGCTATCTTAAAGGTTGTATTTTGAGAACGAGATTCTCGAAACAAGCGTTTCTTATATTACTTTTGTAAATAAGTAATTCAATTGCACATGGCCATTTCTGCGTGTGTCTGTGTGAGTGCATCTCTAGCGACATTTTTTACACGCGAGGGAATACCAACGTCACTCGAGAGAGTATTTACTGGCAGCGTCTGCAAAGAATGCCTTGGCTTCATGCCAACGCGCGAAAGGAAAGCGGTTTTCGAATCGATGATAAAAATCTGAAATGGACAAAACAGGAGTTGAGTTAATTGGTGTGAAATTCGTAAAATTACGAGGCATTTCACAAAACGCCATGCTTTGAGTGTGCATTGTAGCAATGCAGAATACTAAAACGCAAGGCGAGATTGATACCAGTAAATACCGCAAAAAATCGATATCTTACCATGATTTGAACTAGATGGATTCGACCCAGGACCGATCGAGCTCAACTTCCGATCATCCGGTTTCACCAGGGTGTTTTCCAAAATGCTCGCCTAAAGTACACAAAATGGAACTGTAAGAACAGGCTAAATGGCTTGGAGAAAAACATCCTAAAACGAAATCCACCGTCTACTTTTAGGTTCCAAGTAGGCGAGCAACACACCTCGATGTAATTCGCAACGAGGCTTGGATTGAGCTCGGAGAGCAGGATGGACGTATTGTCGGAGTTGAGGAAGCAACACGAGATCAACGTCGGAAAGAGGATGTTTGCTAGCGCGGGCTGCGAGAAGTAGGCGACGGGAAGACGACAGAGTTTCAACAGAAGCAAGCAGCCCGTCCCAGAGTTGGGAGAGCCGGGCACACAGCGGCAGAGGTTGGCCTGATTTCGCTCATGCAGGGATGTAAGGAACCCAAGGCAAATGATGGCTTCATGCAGCAACTGGCGGGTTGCGTTGTTGGCCACAAGGGTGGTGTCATCTTGGCTGCTTCTTCGATTGCTGTAAGAGAGGGCAACGCACTCAGTGGCAGGAGACGGCAGTTCGTCGTTGCTACGATTTCTAGATGACGTAGATTACTAGCATCAATTTACATGAAGTTGGGCCAGAAAGATGTGAATTTCGGCCTTCTCAACCAATGCTTAACAAAAGCGATATGTGCGTGCGGAAAGGCGCAATGAAGCTCTAATCAATGCAGCAAATATCATCAGCTCGAAACTGAGAAAAGGACGACTGTGCTACCTGCACAGGAGTTTGGCACTCTCTTCCTGCGAGGCAACTGGAGAGGCATGCGTCGATCGCACAACGCCCACCTCCTTGGCCCCGGTGGGGACGAGTGAGGAGGTGTTGCGCTTCCGTTTGCCCGCAAGACATCCCCCAGTGGTAGACGACGACGACGACGTCTTGATGGACGAGGCAATGCTGAACGCGGAAGAGGACGTCTTCATCAGGGGCTTCTCCGCCTCGTCTTCAGATGGAGTGCAAGCAGTCAATATGCTGCCTAGAATGTGTCGCAGTTGCACGGAGGTCGCGTTGCTGCTTACTATCTCCTAAAATAAACTCATAACATGGGCTCTGTTTCGATGCCTAATTGAGCCAAACACATTCAAAAATGGGACTGCCTTCAACAGGCCGCTGTTCCATTGATTGACTACAGAAGAGATACTCTAATTTGCACAAAACGCCTAGATGTGGATTACAACATGGCGATTCACATACCATCGGCTGATCAGGCACAAAAAGCACACAACACCGCTAACCCTCGGCCACGATGATTGGCCGGTTTTTGCTGAATGGCGTAGCAAGTTTTTCATTGGTAGATCCGGTTTGTTTACCTCTTACCTGTATTTTTGGCTGATTGACGACGGCACAGTAATTCACCAAACGAAGGGACGACAAGATAATATCTGATACGAGGGACGATGAGACAAACAGACGCTGTAAACTGATACTACCGCTGTCATGCAAATCCCCAGAGAAGCTGGAGCCTAAGGGAGAGGGGGATGTATAAGTGTTTGCAGCCCGGAAGTGATTGAAGCACACGCAAAGTCACACAAACCTGCTCGGTGGCCCACCGAATTCACAGCGATTTGTAGCATGCCGTAGAGGAGGGCGATGATGCCAAACACCTCAGTCGAGGCTACTGAGTCGAAAAAGAAGGTTGGGTCAGCGGGGCATGCCTCGAGTTGATCGTCTGCCGGAGTGGTGGCGGCGACTCGCCTCAACGCGGTCTGAGGATCGTCTGTTTGTGCTGACGAAGGCGCGCTAAATCAAGCGGAAGTCTCACATTCTTATAACCCGTTAAAAAACAGTATTTTATACACAACAAAAAGCACGGCGGTAGGACCTCCTTGAGGCTGTCGCTTTTCCACGTTTCTTTTTCTGTTGTTGTGAGAAAGCCGAAGGTTTTGTTGGGGCTGTTGTTGTCGTCGCTGGAATAAGCTTAACAAGGGCGGTAAGGAAGTTGATGCTGAGCAGAGCCAGATTTGGAAGGAACTGTTGTGAATCGCACCCAGAGCTGTCGCTGAGAGCAGCCAATTCGGCGCTCAAAGTTGGAGATGAGAGCCGCGAGGTGAGGATTTCTGGCAGGCCCGAGTTCACCATGTAGGCCACGTAGTCCTTGAACAAGAACGCAACAAACAATGACTTAAAAAAACTGGCTGAGAAAGTAGGGAACCAATGCGGTAGGAGATGCGACCCACTGTGATAGAAGCCGAGACTAGGGTAGTCTTGGATTTCCTAGAGGCCTTTGTTGAGACTTCGTCTGATGCACCGGAAGATGGTGGCGACGACTCCAGCCCACGAGATGCCACAAGCAGACACCTGAAGAGGTCTCGAATACTCGCCATTTCTTCCACTACACCTTCACCAGCTTTTTCTTCCTGCTTATTGTTCTTATGCTTGGCACTGTCGCCAAGTTCCAACGCTTCCAGACGCTGAAAAGGCAAACACAATAACAAATTGTGCTATTCGCATCAAAAGTACCAATAACTTGAAGGAAATGCAGCACTTTTAAGCAGGTAAAAGTGCTCACCGCTAACTTGACAGCCAAACAATCAACCAGCAGAGCCAAATCACCGTTAAAAAGTAGGTGCCAACTTGTTTCGACGGCGTTTTCACACAGAACAGTGAGCAGTCCACAAGCCAGGGAGACGGTTCTGTATGTGAAAAAAGAAGACAGCTTAGGGACGAAAGAAGTTGACAGGGTCCAAAAAATAGGCAACCCGTTTCAAGTATGGCGTGTGTTTGCTGACAGGGGAGTGATGTATAGTGTCAGTGGGGCACGACTGAGCCCTCCTACCTGGCGGGAATAACAGGAAAATCGAAGTAGCGCTGGGATCGGGTGAGGTCAACCAACCCCACGGCAACCGGAAGCAGGTCGAGGTGGAGACAGCACAGGAGAGCTGTCTGAAACGACAAAACAGGAGCAGTCACTTTGTGCACTGGGGATTCAGCATTCCCGTGACTATATTTTCAAAATACATTCTCCTATCGGCCGTGGCATTCCTATTGGCCAACTTAATGCCGTCCAGACCAATCATAAGTGGGTGCTCCTGTACCCGTGCTCGGCTTTTGGCTGAAACAGTTAAAACTTCACGACATGAGATCATATGTAGATCGTGTCAGGGGAGGCGGTCTCATTTGTGTTGGTGAGAAGCTTGGACAAGGGGCTTGATTACTTGCATGTGGAGCTTTGTGCAAATGTCATTGTGACCGCAACACCTTAGTTTTTCATTAAATCAATGAATCCCGTTTTGTTAAATTGAAGGACACCACGTCGAACCTTGTCGTTGGTTGAGGAAGGACTGATGAGGCGATGAATGGCGTGGAGAGCCTTCTCTATGGCACCGACACGGGAAGCCACCCAGGGACCGGATTCAGGCAAATTGTAGTACCTTCGTGCTTCCTTAATTAACTTCTGTAGCCTAAACAAAAAGCGGTCGAATTGTCAACAAGACGGGGCCCGCTGTGCCGCGGTTCACTCAGACAAGAAAAAAACTCACTGCGACTTTTGTGGGCAGTCAGGCGTCAGGGTTGCACTGAGTAACGGCGCCTTCCGGTACACATGGGCCCTATTACCAAGGTAACTACGTGTAAGTCATAAAAGGCCTCTAAATTGGGAATCCTCTTAAAAAACGGCATACCGGGAACTTATGCGTTGGCGAATGACGTTTAGACGACGACCTAACAGGCGTTGTCTCTCGACCTCAATGGAGCGACGCTGGTTATTAGTCAAGATCAATGCAGACGTGGTTAGAGACGATGATGATGATGAATTTGGCGCAGCGGACGACGAGGGCAAATCTACCAAGCACGCATTATTGAGATCGGACTGAATGATAATTAAAAAGAAAACAGAAATCAATGTGATTCTCTAGTTGCAATAATTTCACAAGCAAGAGAGAACAGTGGCAAAGCACACACACCACGTTTAAATGGAGTCTCTGGGAGGCGGGGATGGAGTTGAGGAGGGCGCGACGGTGTCCCCGTGTGGCAAAGTGGTTGTCGACGGCGTGCAAGTCCCCGGACACAAGGACACGACAGAGCCGGCACCACCGCTGATGCGGAGTGGATGACGAGGCGTCGACGTCTGCGTTTGACGTGGAGAAGGCGTCGCCATCGTGGCACGGGGCTGACATCTCCAGGGCTTTGCGGCGAATGCCGCTGAGGGTCTCCTGGTGTCGGCGTTCACATTCACGTTGCTGGATGTGTTATAAAAAAATCACAAAACAACTTGAATGCAGTGGTGATCGTTGAAGAGCAGATGCATCTACAGGCATGTGTTTGATAAGCACAAGACTCTGACGACTAGGGGCCTCACAATGACACCTCAACAGCATTAACAGTAGCGTCGGAAGGTTGCCATGCTAACGACTATAAGAGTCAAAATCACAAGATACGCGTACTTTTCGAAGGATGTTGGACCGCAACTCTTCGATGTGGGATCTCTGCTGGTGCTCCAGATTGGCCAATTTCAATTCTCGATTGTGTTCCTTTGCTCTAGCAGCCTCGCGTCGCACCAGCTTCGTCTGTTCGCCACGCATTTCGATCTCGTGGGCACGCGAAATCCAACGGGCCTGCAGTTCATCCAAACGCGCCAACCGAATAGCCTCCAGTTCAATCCGGCGCAGCTTTAAGGAGAGAGTGGAGCAAAATTGGAGGATGCAAAGCGTCAGTTGACACTCAGAAACAGAACTGATGCCACACCAACCAACGCACCTTGGCAGCCTCCTCGCGTTCTGCCTTCTCCTCCAGCCGACGTCGACGCAACTCGGCGCGTTCTTTTAGTCTGGCGCATGATATTGCGTGTTTGGCGAAGATTGTGTGCTGCTTCTGTTCGGCCTCGAGGGTCTGCAGCAAAAGTGGCAAAAGGACGCTAACACCAATACCAACGGGAAGCAAATTACAACGTCGGGCTTTTAAAGACCACAAATTAGTGTGGGACAATTTCGACTACTCAAACGACAAGCGTTCGAGTCAAATACTGACCAAAGTAATGTAGAAGGGATGTGTGAGAACTGCCAAGAGATGGGCGTAACAACTGGGAGTACCTGGATGAATGCAATCTCGCGTCCTTTAATCTCCTCGTCGTGGGCCTTGAGGATGCGCCGTTCGAGCTCCGCCCGCCTGTTCGCCTCCGCCACAAGAAGACGCTGTTCAAGGAAGTTCCGACGCTGCTGTATCAGTCGCAGTTTCTGTTTACGTACCTCTTCGACCTAGGGTAGGGAACGAAACCGGGTGGGTCAGAGTGGGAGAATGGCGAAACAGACAACCGCCCAACCGATTAATGAGCGTGCATACCAGTTCCAACGTCTCATTTCATCATTATTATTTGATAGAATTACAAGGACAAGAGTTTATACAAGAGTAAATGGAAACATCGGGTGCATACCTTCTTACTGAGTTCACGGACCCTGTTGGAACGCTCAAGGAGATGTCTTTGACGCAAAGTGCGGGCACGAGCCTGCTTAGCTTCGATCTCCTGGATAGAGCTTTCGCATCTACGGAGAAAACAGCGGTGCCGCAACCAATTATCATGTTTTTCAAGGGTTTAGAAGAACGGTGCTTCTACTGAGCTGACCAGTAACTCTCGTGCAAAATGCTACTCAAGGGACAGTCTGGAGTTGTGAGGTAATCTGGATCGTCAACACGCAAACACGCTGCACAATAAATTATCCAAGTTGTGCATTAATCAGAAAACATCTGACGCACTAAGGATACGTTTGGTACGGGACACTGGCAGATAAACTTGTAAACACGTCAAATAAAGTAAACTAACGTCAACGCAACTCGTCGTCTAGATGCTTTAGTCATTATGTGGGGGAATATCAAAACTAACTAATTCCTGCCTACTTGGCCTTTCGTTGTGAAGATAACTTCTCGTGCATTTGAACACTCCTGCCAGGTGTTCGTGGTTTGGTTGGCGTAGTGGTAGCAGAGCCAATTGGGTAGTAGTCAAATTCGCAACTCTGAGGCTCAGTTTCAACGGCGACCGACTTCATCATCTTTGACGATGGCTTTCGGGATATTTCTCGCCGGGAGTAGCCTTGTAAAAAAGGTATTTTGTTATATCACCAGGCACAGTCTTCGTTAGTAGAAAAAAAGAACACACCTGAAGCAGGTCTAGCCCTTTCTTTTGAGTCACCAGCTGCGCAAGCAGAGCAGGCATAGCAAACACGACAGGAAGCCTTTCGATCGGGTACACTCACTTCCACGTGCTCTTCTTCATCCTCTTCAATGTCCGATTCGTTCTCGAAGACCTCTTCCTCATCTCGCCCCTCTAAGTGACGCAGAGTGGCCTCCTCAGACTGAGCTCGACCTAGCTCACTTCGAAGAAGTCGCTCAGTGCAAGCAACCGACTTGATCGCCTCATCAAAATGAGTTCCTTCAACATCCTCTTCCTCCTCTTCGTGCAGTAAATCCTCTTCATCGGAGCCCCAGGCAAGGGCCGAGGTAGGTCGGTAGCCGGAACAATCAGTGGGACGTCGCCATTCGACTGAGGTTGGTGTTGGTGGAGACACATCCATGACATCCAGATCCGCCAAAACACGCCGCATTATTGGCCGCCCTGGCGATATCTTACGTTCGTCCCATGCTAAACAAGCCGGTCTTTAGGAAAAAAGGTATAATTAAAAATGAGAATGAGCACTACCAATATTGTGGAATTGCGCGTCGGGTTTGACCACAAAAATATGAAAAATCGAATGCCAGGGACATTAAGTAACACTTGAAATTTATTTCCTGGTATAAGGGATCTCAAACAGAAAAAAAAGCTAATGGAAATTCAGGAGCTAGCACTTTTGACCAAGTCAAATTAAGTCATTGTACCTGTTTCCAACGTTGGCATCAGCAAATCGCTGGAGAAGAGAGGTCTTCTCAATTAGAGATTTAAAATCTTGTTCACTGTGATTAAGAATCATGATGACTTCCTAAAGAAAGCAGTAAAGACCACTGATGAGAAAATACCTTGCACCTTATTTCACATTCATCCAGTTCACAAGCAGCATATATTTCGTCAATTGTCCGCTTAAGTGTGTCTAGCATCTGACCCCAATATAAAGATCGATAGTCCTCACGTCTACGAGTCCGACGCCTTTGAATTGTGTCACCTGAAGAAAGTGATGAATGATCCGACGCAATTGTCGCGAGACTTTTAGCACAGACAGAATTACAATCTGATGACTCCCGAGACTGTGGGCGGTAGTCCCTGAAAATGCCTTTCGATGGGGACACATGAACGGTACCTAAAGTAATTTAAAGTGTTAACGAGACGTCAAAATATTAGCTATAAAAAAGGCAGAAGCATACGTTGTCTACTCTCATAAACAGGTAAGTTGTATTTAATAATATTACGAGCCTGAGTGCCTTCACGCTCGACCTTAAGTCTGATCCAATCGGCTGTTGAATCTCGTAAATCCTCAAGAACTGGATCGATGTACTCGTCCACGGCCATAAAAAACCTTAAAATGCGCAGTTAGGGAAACGTCCCACCAACGCATTCAACCCAGGCGGGTTAAAACTATTGGTTTAGAAAAGGTTGTCCACCAAGTAAAAGATGTCTTGTTGAGTTCACTTAATGTCTAGTTGATGCTAAATCCTACCTGCCATTTAAAAATCATTGTCAATTATTCGTAAGTGCGCTGATAATCATGTGGGAGTCGAAGAAATGCTGTAGATTAAAAGGTGACAGATCTACCTCATTTGATTTCATTTTGAATGCCTTGGTCATTTGCATAAGCATTTGGTTTTATAATTTTCTATAAATATTAACGGCTCATTTACATTGTAGGAAATTTTGCTGATTTAGATTGGATATTTCATGTACATTTTGGTATTTTTTGAATGCATAAATGGCGCGAGTTTTTGAACTTACATTTTTTTCATTTTTTCAATATATAATTTGTTTCTGACCGCATAATAATCCCCTAAACGTTTTTCCATTGCTAAGTCCATCAACAAAATTATAAAGTTTAAAGTTATGCTGACTCCTCCATAGGCTGAATTCGATAATCTCACTATGTACAATATAAGTACGCTGTCAGTTTTAAGATGAAAATGAGATACGCTGAATTGAGATAGTACAGATTCTACTACCACGTACCTTTGCAAATATTTACAAAGATGTTTTTATGCGAATGGCAATGTTTGAACATGAAATAAATTTAAGAATGTTGCGATTGTGTATTTGAGGTGTACAAAATTTTTAATGTGGACCTTGGAGCGTTTCACTGACTTTAGGTAACTTTTTACGCTGTATTCTCCGAATATTTTCGTAAGCCTTGTGTCTAGAAATGGCGGTATAACGGGGATGTCTGTGAAATATGAAGGATCAGGGCAAGCTTAAATCTGAAATTTTGCTTTTGTAGGATGCACTCACTTTCAAATTCCATAGCATTCTTAACTCTTCATAACAGCAAGGAAACCCATTAAATCGCTAAATCAAAACTTTGCACCTAGATTGCAGAAATGACTCCCATGATGTCTTAATTTCTTCTTCAACCAAAAGCGCCCATTTGTTTATAAAAAGAGTTATATCATAAATTATAACAATCCTACTTTCACTTTTCAACTGTTACACAGTTTAGTTACATGTATCTACGTTATGCGTTCTCAGATCTGTTTAATTTTTGCACTGCGCTAAAGAGTGTGTAAAGTTCTTCCATTATTTGGCAAGGAAATTTGTGCAAGAAAAAGTTAAGAATGGTCAAAATAACTATGGCATCACTCAGTAGCTCAAATTTCGCTTTTGTTTCAGAGACATTATAGGAAAACAGTATGTTTTCTCCGGTTCATAGGTCATGAAACTGTCAGACGTAATATCTGGTGTTAACATTACAAGGACAATATTTTAGTGTGCCACCGTTTATAATTAATGGTATGAAGATAAATCGAATCACAGAGGTATTACTCGCGTTACTCCACTCACACACGCCGGTCTGGCATGTTCTTTATCCTTCTCTTCTCTCCTCCAATCTCGCCTTCCTAAAGGCACGCTCGCGAGACTGAGGGGAACCCCGACCTTCCTCGTGGCCATTCCATACCTCTCCGAGCTCTAACTCTCCCTAAGCCCTAGCCCTCTGAATTTGTATTCAGTACGGTTCTGTCTGCTCTTCTTCCATCGCATATCCGATAGCTAATCATGATAGTGTGGCTATCTAAGAAGGACGGGCTTACGGTTATCCACTCAGTTATGTCCCCGCTCGGTAGGCGCGTTACAGAGGCCAGTAGTCTAAACTGACAGTTAAATATTCGTAGTTTTGATAAATTGACATGTCCGCTGACTAGATTTGAGATATTAAACTGCTTTTTCATAAGGTCCCGTTGGATGAATATTCTTGGCCGGGAAATGCATTTTTAAGGTAATGTATGATTCTAACAATTTGGCGTTATATTTGAAACCCAGGTATTCTAAATTAAATTTACTCGTTAAATTCCTATTTTGCCTAAATGTTTAACATTTCTTGATTTTAAACATGGACAACTAATGTCTGTTAGCGAATAAACGGAAAGTACTTAGACTTTTATTTAAACAGAACCATTTCCTACAAATCATTGCTGTGTATGCAAAAATTTCGTGACGTATAAGAGTGAAAATCGACCATTTTGGCTTGAAAGTGTGTCTTAAAATGTTTTTTGTCAAAGAACATTGAAATAATGCGGGTTTTTGAGCTTCTGATCTAAGTGTTTAGATACGATAAAGGCATTAGTAAGTGAAATTATCTTCCTACTTCTGGCCACTTTGGCATTAATTTATTTTGGAATTTAAACTGGTCTCAAATTTAAAGGCTAGTTTTTTTCATGAAGCGCTTTTCGAATACAGTCATCAAGGAATAAGATGACAAGCTCGATGCCAAGCACCTGTCTTTTAGAAAAAAATACTTTTGTAATTTTCGCGTACCTTTGTTTATTTTGTTAAATAACGACAGTATTCATGAAAAATCACAAGTAATAATAAATTCTTCAAGGGGTCTTGTGCTGAAATAAAAGGGTACAATAGAACTGCTTCTTCCGTTTATGACTTTCACAAAAAATTCGGACGTTTTAATTCACTATCTGAAGCAAAAAAAATGAAGTGAAAAGCTTTAATGAAGTTTGCGCAATAATCTAATCAAACTCTAGTATTTTTGCAATCAGGTAATTTGCAAATTTCATTGAGAAATTACTTCGATTACCGAGTTTTCGTGATTTCCGAATCTGTGTCAAGCTTAAGCTGCCATAGGATAACTTGTTATTCTGTTGCTAACACTACGTACATCACATCGAGTAGACTGTCCAATATCATTAACCTTACATTCGTACTTGGGAAGGTGCAGTTCTTACTCCCTTCTGGACTCTGAAGACGTTCGACACCTACAAAGTTGCAATCCTTTCGAGATTATCAAATACCTTGTACAAGCTCTGCTATAGTGCAAGTTAGAGGTCAAGATGAATCTATGGCCACGCGTTTATTTTTTGAAAATAATTCTAAGCTACAAACCTTGTCCCACAAAACACGGTGATTGGTTAGTGGAATGTGAAATTGTATTGGCGCACCAGACAAAGATTTCCGGCGTTGGGATGGTATTTCCCCTTGTTCACTGCATCTTCAAAGGCAATTTCGTGGCAACGGTCCTCATTATTAAGGATGCCTTACTAGTGACGTCACATCCAAAAAATGTCTTTGAAAGTGGTTCCCTACTGACTGAAAAGAAGTAATCGCCGCCTTAAACTTATTGGTGTCACAGGAGTGAACTGATTTCTCATTGGTAGACGTCAGTAGGATTTGTCAATTTTAAGTGCATATAATTCACTATCCAAGACTTATTCTGTGGGCTATTTTCGTGACCACAGAAGACCACTAACCAATCACCGTCTATCTACTATGAAGTGTCATCTTTAGCAACGACCAATAAAGCTTCCTTGTCAAAAAACAAACACATGGCAAAAGACTCCAACTCCGCAAGAAGCGAAATCAGACACCAACCTGTTGCAGGCCTGAGCGCCCTTGGCATCGATGAAGACGAATATTCCATCCGTTCCGCCAATACGAGTACCGCGCTGGTGACTTTGTTCGCAACAAGTGAGTATTTTGGTGTTGGGTGCGCCATCTACTGTTATGACGACGGAAAACGGATAGCCAGGATTTCGGCGGGATTCAAAAGTTAAGAAATCTACAATGAAAGGCCTCCGTGAGGAAAGGAGTCGCGTTGCAAACACACCTCCAACCAATCCATCCCCTGGGAGTCCAATTTTCACATCCGTAGCAGTTAGGTGATGTTTACAGGTTTTGTAGTTTTGTAAATTGCCAGCAGTATCTAGTAATCTTTGTATTTGTTATGGCTGTGTTCGTTTTGACTTCAGAACGAGTCTCGCCGCTCTAAATTTCCCATCTCACTAAAAGCCAAGCCGGACACCCTACGGTCTCAATCGCTTTCCAAACACCGTGCCATTTACAGCTAAATCACTCAACCAAAGACTAGGCAGAAAGGTAGGGTGGCGACACCTGACTGGTGTGTGAAGCCGTTAACCCTCGATTAACAAATGAGACATTGAGAGGGAAAATAAAATTGTTTTTTTCTTCTATTGTGCTTACGCCCGTTTTGCTCATGCTCATGGCGTCTCGAGGCAGCAAATCGACCTACCGTTGGGGCGAAGCGCTCCCCTGTAGACGGGTATCGAGTAGGACCGTCGGAGTTGCTGTTCAACCACCACGCGTCTTGGATGGTCACTTGCGCCGATCACTGGTGATACGCCAAGAAACTTCAACTGAACTAGGCACGTTTCCGCCTGTTTTAAACACAAAAAAACGCTCAAGAGGGGGTTCTGGCCAACATGTATTATTATGTATTATTATCACAAATTGCGTGAACCTCGCTTCGGGCAAAGAAGTCAGCACAAGGCAGTGCAGATTGATGAATGTGGCCGGAAATTTAGACAATGGACGGCAGCTTGAATTGCTCTCGTTGGCCGGAAATTGTTTAAAGTGGGAACATTCACGGAAATGATGTTGATTTAGGTCTGGATGAATGTGATGAATGCAAACTCGGTGACAGATATAGAAAACTAGCGTTGAAACTTCATAGCTAACACAGAAGACGGATTTGGTTGTCTCGTCAGCACCTCCAGACCAGAACTCGAACACGGGAAGTTGGAGGTGGAAGGAAGTACCTTAGCAATGGTGCCCACTATTTGGGTGTAGTAAGAAGCAATAAGCAAAGCTACTCTAACAGGGATCTGGTAGCACCAAGGTCATTCGACTGACGCATTTAAAGCTAACCCCTAGTTCGAGGTTTGTTCAGAAGAAATGAAGACAAAGTTTGGTGAACTGATTTACAGAACTGAAATGTTGCAGAATCCCTGCATAGAACGCCAGATCGTCTCCAGGACGAACCAAATTTTGGAATCAACAAAAAATCTCAACACATAATCCCTTCTGCTCGTTTTGACTGCCATTAGTAAACATGAATCTTGGTAAAAGTA